GAAGAAGCATCAACATTCTTGTCTGAAGCAGTTAACTGCTCCCAGGGGCAGTTGGTCTTCTGTCACTCCGTGAAACACAAAGACTTAGATGCCTGCACTTTTCCCCATCTGGTAATCTTTATCAGTGTCGCAGGAGGTGGGCTGTTTTCCCAGGAACCGGGATGGTCCTTATCTATCTGTAGTTTCAGAAACAAAAGCTTTAACATATACATTACTTGCTAGGCTTATAACTTTTCTACCTTAAAAACATAATTTTCCAACTCTTCTACTCCCCTATCACTATGATATTATCCACAGCTTTTCAGGAAGAACTAGTCTTCTGACCCCACCTCATGTCTCAGATTAGTTTTTATGCTATTAGTAATTATTACTGAAAAAAAAATTTATTCTGTTTCAGTATCATTCAAGTACTTTTAGGTTTAACTTAATTTAGTTCCAAAATTACCTACAGCAGCAATGCTCCAGAGAGGACCTGATGTCACTACAACAACACTGGGTTTACAAGGACCTCTGCACTCATGGTAACTTTGTGGAATTGCAGTATTGTCTTAGTCAATAAGAAATATTGTGTATGAGTGTTCAGGGGACATTTTGATTGTTCATCAAACAAATGTTTATCTAATGTTCATCAAACAAATGTTTATCAAATGTTTGATAGGGAAATTTTCTCTCATTACTCTTTCAAATATGTTCTCTATCCCTTGTTCTTCTTCTCCTTCAGATATTCCTATTATACAGATATTATTATGTTTCGTATTGTCTTGAATTTCTCTTAATTGCTATTCAGTCTTTCAGAGCCTCTTTTCCTTTTCTTGCTCTTTCTCTGAGATGTTTTCTACTTTGTCCTTCATCTCACTGATCCAATCGTCTGCTTCATAGATCCTACTTTTGATACCTTCTACCCTGTTCTTCGATTCAGAAATTGTATTTTTCATTTTCTCTTGTCCCTTGCTGATAGTTTCTATTTCTTTTTTCATGTTCATATAGTTTTTGGTGAGTTCATTGTAGCTCCCCTGCAGTTTCTGGTAGCTCATTGTGAGCTCTTTGAATTTCCTGATAACCAGTGTTTTTCATTCAATATCTGATAGTTGACATGCCTTTATTTCATCTATCATTCTTTCTGAGGCTTAGGCCTTTTCTTTCATTTGGGATTGTTTCTTTGTCTTCCTATTGTTTTTGAGACTCTTCTTGTTAGCCTTAGCTTTAAAAAATTTTTTCTGACTCCCTGGATTTATGGTGTGAGCCTCTGTCATAGAATACCTGTGAAATAAAGTGGTACAGTCTCCTGCAGGTATCTTGATGTTCTCTGCTTCCACCTGCTCCTATTTGTGTGTGTGTGTGTGTGTGTGTGTGTGTGTGTGTGTGAGCAGTTGGATGTGGATGCAAAATGGTTTATAACAGCAAAAGAATATTTTATGTTATTCACAGTCATAGAAAGTAGAGAAGAGATAGAAGAATTTTGGGGTATATATAGTGTTAACTGTAATCTTCAACCCAACTTGACACTTTTATGAAATGATGGAAAAAAGATTAGCCTTTTGGGGGGAAGGGAAGGCTTGTGAGTTGGAACTAGAAAGCAGTGAGTTTGAAAATGGTCATATTTTGAGGTCAGGTGAGAGTAAAGAATAGTAAATAAGTGTAGAGTGTGAGCTACAGGTGTGAGCTATAGGTGTAGAGTTAATCACTACAGTAATAGAATTCAGGAACCTGTACAGTGGGCTAAGATCTGGGAGATGTGTTGTGAAGTATTTACAATAGTATAGAACAGCTATTATTTACAATAATATTAGAGCAACAATCATATGACCGACTCTGTAGGATCTCTCTGAATAGAGGATGTAGAGATTCAGGTAGTGTGCTAAAGAAAAACAACAGGCGTGAGGTATAGAAAATTAGAAATACATTGTGGAGGAAAGAACAGAGGAGACCTGTCAAATAATACAATATAACCAGCCAAGACTAAGAGGCTAATACAGAAAGAGGAGAAATACAAAGATACCACAAAAATATAAAAGAAGTGAGAATAATAAAAAATATACAAATATGCAGCTACTTGCGGCTTCTCTGCTATTGCAAAGTGAAATTTGCCTGTCTTTCTCTATTGTTGAGATACCCCTCTTTGAGTCCCACTCTGGTCTTTTCACAGTTCCCAGTTGTTTGTCTCTCCTGTGTATAAAAGAAAACAAAGCAACAAACAAACAGATGCAACTAAACGAAATAAAAGGTAGAAGGAGGGATGAAAAATGATAAGTTTGGGAAGAAAGGAAGAAGGACTAACACAGGAGAAAAAGAAAGGAGAGGAACAAAGTATTGAAAGATAAAGCAATAATAAAATTTAAAATATATAAGATTACTAAACAAACAAACAAACAAATAAAAAAGCAGAAAACAAAATTTAAAAAAAACTTCCCTTGTTGGTTTTAAACTGACTAAACCAGTTACTCTGGTTGCAGTAGAACTTATCTGTGGGCAGGGGTGCAGGGGGGTGCAAAAGCCAGGCTACCAGAATGGGATGCAGGTGCCAGCAGAGCCGCCAGGCTGCCTGGGTTCCGTGGCCTCTGGCACAGTCCTTCCCAGACCTGTAACACCTTCTCTTTAATCAAAGGACCTGTCACATAGCTTTTACCATGGAATTACAGGAAGTTCAAAGTCACTGTGAACAAAGAAGTCAAAGTCTCAACTCTGAGGTTTTTCTGGCCCTCAATTCCCTGTCCCAAACACACACACCACCAGCGACTATTTTTGCCTCTCCCCAGGCACTTAAGCAACCTACTAACACAAAAATCCACTAAATTATGTCTAACTTGTTGACTCATCTGAGGCATATTTTATGTTATAAGATTGAGCTTTAGTTAATCACAGCTATCCAAGGCCATGTGGAAATGGTGGCCCTCAGACTACACTTTGAGAGTCTGCTACGAATATTTCCCATGGGTTAAAATAGAGACTGGACATCACTGACCTTCAACCTTGTACACTACCTCAAGCTTGTCCTACATTTCCGACCTTTGCCAAGCTGCATTACAGCCCCTCTGCTAGCCTTACTACCACACACTCCAAATTCCTCCCTGAATAAGATTTCTGTATTCATGGTGCCCCCAATTTTACAAACCTTCATCACTCCTCAGAATCCTAGTCCCCAACAGGAAGCTAATCTCATCTCTCCCTTGATTTTTATCTTATGTCTTCTGTTTCATAATATTTTTTGCCTAGTACACATGGTTTTCCCTCTTATACTAATATTAATCTGAGTCTTCAAAACCTTATTATTTCTCCTGAGTGTGTGTCTCTCCCCACATACCCATCCTAGACTGGGAGAATGGCCCCCCTCTCTTAACTGCACAAGCTCCAGTGGTCCCTCCCTCATCACTTAGGTCAGCCCCTTACTTGTATGCCTCAGCCCCATCTTGAGCTCCCTTAATTAACCAAACCCTCCTCCATCACCTATTTATGATTACCTTTTGCAGATAACAAAGAAAGAATGTTGCTAATTACATCAAAGAGAAGGATGTTACAGATCAGAGAAACAAGTGGTTGAACTGGTTACACTCCATACTTGGGATGTTTAGCACAGAATTTGGGGAGTTACAGTAAGCACTTTCTGCCTCAATTCAAGGTGAGGGAGTCTTAGCAAAAGCAAGTCTCATGGCAGCCTAGGGCCAATGCAAGTGTGATTCCTCAAGGAAAACCTCTCCATGGCCATTTTTCTAGGTGTCACTCACTCCCCAATGGTTTTTCATGTGGAAGCTGAGCTACATTTCCACACCATGTGCAGCAGTTCCTTACATGCAATCACAAATTGCGATTTCATTTCTGAAGAAAATGCTCTAAAAGTGTGGAGGTCAAAGGCCTGCAATCAAGAAGAACCTGTGTAAAAGTCAGTGACTCTGAGGAACATGAATGCCTCTGTTTGATAACAAAATTGCTTTCTGCACAGTGGAGTGAAACACAACTACATCTTTTTCAGCCAAGGCCGATTTTTCATCTCCATCAGTTACTGCAATTTATAAAGAGGTACAAAAGAACCCAGAGTCCCTGAACAGAGCCAGAATCAGATCTCCCATAAGGCTGTGCTTCTGGAAATTTCCATTTCCACATCTTATTTTTCTCTACAGTAACATTCCCTCTCTTTTAATGAAATCCCTAAGGAAGAAGTGTTTACCTCATCCCACAAAGTAGCTGAAATCACATCATTTGACCTCATTAGTTACCTAAGTGCAGAGGAACTGACTTTTACCACTTGGTTTGCTCTGATGAAGTCTCTTATACAGAGCACATGGTGGGAGTTTATCACTTGAGGTTAAGCAGCTTCAATCTTCCACTTCACCAGTAGTCCACCAGCTTTGAGTACTACACTGTTTTTCAGGAAGTACCAAAAGACCAAGACATCGAACTTAGATTCATATACTACAGTTTCATTTCTAGTTGCATGGGCATTGGTGTGAACTAGGACATAGGATATAAAGCCTTCACTTAATTACCAAAGTTTGTAATTATATGTTATTAACAGAAAGAACAGATATGGACTAAACTAATCAAATAGTTATACTGACATATAAATAACAATACTGGAGACTAGAAATTTTTTGATAGCTATATAAGATTATGATCAGTGTTGCTACCCACATGGGTTTCCTTGTGTCCATTCCCATTGTCTTCAACTGTGACCAGGTGCCTCCTGATGTTTGCATGGAGATGTGACAGAGCTCAGATTCTGTGTGCTGATTACCTGCTCCTGCTGGTTATCATAGGACCACTGCTCATCCTCATAAGGAAACAGTGTTAACTCCACTGTGGTCATGATACAAATGAAACCAAATAAAGGCAGGGGCTGGTTTAAAATGTGACCTTCAGTCAATAATGACAACTTCAGCTCATATTTGTGGTGTTTATTGACTTAATATAAATATTTTAAGAACTATTCACCTGCAGACAAATATATTATGATAATGCAAGGAAACTTAATTTAGAATTGAATAACACAGAGAAAGAAAGGAATGTCACTCATGTAGCACATGCAGTTCAAGGGGATGACTTTCAGTCCTCCTAAAGGGGTCACTGGCTATACATTTGTAAACCCCAGCATCTTCTCTCTTGACTGGGTCTATGGTGAGTAATTTCCTATCTTCAGACAGATGCATTCTGTTTGTGAAATTCAGATCCGTGTCATTGAACAGCCACTGGATGGAGAGACCAGTTGTGTAGCAGGTCAAGGCCACCTCATCTTCATTCTCTGTTACCCAGTACCTGCTGGCTCGGAGGCCGGGCCCTTTTCTACGCTCTGTAAAGAAACAGACAACATGAATCTTTGATATAGTGCTTGAGACATGGAGCCATGCTGCTTCTTCAGAGATCTCCACCACTCACAGTCCACAGTGAGCTATGAAAGTATAGCCAGAGTGTGATGGTGACTTTTGCAGAAAGAAAATTGTCTAAGTTCAGGTGACATTATGTAAAGTGAAAGCCGTACCTCTTTTCTGAGCCATATAACCAAAAAGAGTTAGGGAACCACTTCTCAGGACTTGGAAATGTAGCTCAACAGCCATGTGGAAAACCAGTGGGAGGTGAGTCAGCACGAGGACCACAATTGTAAAGAAGTTCTCCCATGGGAAATCAGGGCTGCATTATACTTAGGCTGCTTTGAGACTTGTGCTTCCTGAAGTCTGTGCTAATTCTCCCAAAGACTGAAATCTAATCAGACCTGTCACTCTCATCATTCCCTTGCATTTGTAACATTTTTCAACAGGCTGAATTGGGGAGTTTGGGTCCTAGAAGTGCTTGGGCTCCTCCTTGTCTTCAACTTATTTGTGCTTTATGATGTACATGGAAGTTGTTTTCTTGTGATCACATTTGAGAACAGCAAATAGTAGGTTTCACACACCTAACAGCTACAATTGATATTTTTAAAATGGGGTGATGTTGGGAGTAACCCTTCCTGGCTTCAGAAGCTATAACACCCCCATTGCTAAGGTGCAGTGAGTGTCCTTTGGTCCATAAGCCACTAAGAAGGCAAAGCCTATCTCCCAGGCAGGAACACCATTTGTGCTTCATTTCTCATATCTGACCCCCAATGCCTGATCACTTAGACAATGATGGGTAAGATTCCACAAGGCTGCAAGTTGGGAAGGGAACTGAAATCTTAAGAAGTTTGTCTGCACTCTGTGTATCCTGCATTAAATGTCAAAACTCGACCTGAAACAAAATGCAGAGTGGAATGGAGGTAGTGTCCAGTGTTGTCAGTCCTGTGTGTGAAGTAGGAGTCACCTCACCCATTCCCCAGGCATTAGAGAGAGAACACTCACCATACACATAAAGCAGCCCAGATGCTATGTCTTTTTCTTGACCTGGAAGATGGACCAGTACGGTGTACATTCCTGTGTCCTTTATGGTCACATTTTTCAACAGCAAGGATCCATCATCAGTTATCATATCTCCATTGTTTCCAGGACCACTTAAATATTCACCTGATGGGTTCAGGACAAAAAATGCAATTACGTTGTTTGTGTTGGCAGTGTGCCCCTTGTACCACACGATGCCTACAATTTCAGGAGGCTTATTGAGGATACGCAGAAGCACATCTTTTCCTTCCACGGTGAAGGTGGACACAATACTGACTTCAGCTGTGCTGGGTGGACTCCAGAATGTTAAGAGTAAAACTAGAAAATAAGAAAAAATTGATCAATATTTGTATCTGTGTATTAGGACAGAAAGATGAGGCCCCAGATCCTGAGTAGGTCTCTTTATCTCTCAGCCTTGGTCTGCAGTTGAGTGTGTGTCTCTCATTGTCAAGATAAACAGTTTGACCCCCATTACTTCAGCACCTCTAAAGCTGTTATTTGTTTGGCTTCAAATGCTATTCTCCAGGTGTTTGTCTTGGTCACCTCCTCACTGTGCTTAGACCAATGCTGACACTCAGGGTCAATTTTGAAAGACCCATTTGCTGACCACATTTTCTAAAGATTCTCTGCCTCCACTTTCTGGCATGTCCTTCTCTGTCTTTGTTTTTACTTCCATGGGATTTCTGGGTCCCTGACCTCACCCCTTCACCTTTCCTTGGCCCTCTCTCCTCAATCGAAAAAGGGCTTTTTTAGAGCAGGGCTTGTGCACTCTTGTAACTTCAGTGACTGCAACAGCCTGGAAATACATGTTGATGAATGAATGAGTGCTGTAACTCCAGAGATTTATTTGCCCATGTCTGGGGTTTTCAGTAAAGATGATGTTTAATACCCTTGCTTGAATTTTTCTGGTGTTTTCTGACATAAATCCTAATTGTTATTACCAGTTTTCATAATTCAATACTCACTGATGAATAACAAGAAATAAACAGTGATACAGGTTTTCCTGCCTCTTAACACTTCCAGATTATGAGATTTTCCTCTTTCTGTTCCACCTTCTTCCTCCTACTCTGGTCTTTTTCCTTCACCCTCAGGTACAAACAAAAACCTTCCCTCTTTTCTCAGAGCACTGGTATTTTTAACAGTCTCCAGCCAGTCTCTGTGTCAGATCCTTAGCCTACTACCCCAAGAAATTGTCTCCTACTCACCAACCAGCAGGGGCCCTTGCCAGTGGACAAGTTCTCTGTGGGTAGAGATTGACAGGGATCCCATGGTGTATGTTGTCTGCTCTGTGGCTGCCTCTTTGAGAGAAGCTTGAGATTCCTTGGTGCTTACAGGCAACTCTGTCCAGAATGGTGCAATATGCTGTGTGTCCTACCTGTGGGCTGAGCTTGTCATGTGGGCTGGGGGCAGGGAGTATGCACCTGACCATCTCACTCACTGCTTGTGTTTTTGCTACCCTTGCTCCTTCTAACCAGTACTGCCTTCCTATAATATGGTTCCTTCGGAACTCCTGAAAACTCTCAATACCACACAAACATACATACAAATACATGCACACACACATAAACACACACACGCACTGTATTAGAAAAAGCTAAATCCTGGGGATTCTGGGATTAGGGCTTTCTCCACAGGTTCCTGTAAGGTATCCAGCAGTCTGTTCCAAAGCCTCTCTCACTCATTCTCTCACATATACACACATACACAAATTTGACTTTTTTTTCAGAACAGCACTTCTTGAGCTAAGTCACAGAAACCTGTCACAAGGAAGTCACTCCTGCTGTGTATCACTTCACCTCTGAAACATTGTATACATTGCAATACCCAGGAGACAACTTAAAAATGCAGGTTAAGCAACTGTCCAGCTTATGTGGGTGCCTATTCGGAGTTAGATCCCTTGATGTGAAAGTAGAAACCCCTCTTCTGCTCTCCTGTGCACAGAGGAAGTCTCCAGATCCTGATAAACTGCAGATTCTAACTGGACGCAGTAAGCCAGAGACTGTGTATGTTACAGGCTCTGGGGGGGAAGTTGATCTTAATTATGGCCTAAGGAGCTCACTTGCAATAGTAAGGCTAATGGGGACACAGGTTTTCTGAGAGGCTGACACAATAATTCCAGCATTGGCCTCTGCTGTGTCTTTAGCTTGGGTCTGTCAGCATTACACACAGAGACCCAGATATCATGAAGAAAGGGCATTATTTGTTTTTGACATAGAAACACAGATTGGCAACAGGTCTTCCCCATGTTCCCAAAAGCTCCCTGGTTTTATTTTTTTACATGAAGGTAACAGAAACAACCTTGTGAATGATTAGTGGTCAAAGATGGTAATAATTACAAAAGAGAACCTTCATTTGTCTCAGGTTTTCACTGGACTGGTTTTGTTTCCTAGGATAAAAACTCAAAACCAGAATTCTTAGTAGGATATAGTTTTGGATGTGAAGTTGGAGATGTCCTTTTTGTCCCCAGAAAAAGGGACTCTGGTGAAAGGTTGGGTGCCTGTGGGCTGCCTGGTTCTCAAGATACAGTTTGAGGAAGACCTCTCCTCCCCACGTCTGTTTGTAGGAGTGGTATTTACAATGCTGACCATTAGGTCAACCTCTGAGTCTTCCCTGGGCAGATTCCTTTTCATCACCAGACTTATCCATGGGTGATGGCAGATATGGAGTAGAGAGGAACAGAGAAACCCCTGAGAGTGGGGGTTCTCCTAGGCTTTGTCAAGGTAAAAACAAGCAAACAAGCAAGCAATAAATATGCCAACAAACAAAAACCCTCCAAGCTTCTACAGCAATGTACTACTTTATCTGAACAAAACTGACCTCATGTGCCTTGGAGAAAGGACTCAAATGCTTTGAACAAAGAAAGTGTTTCAGCTAATCTTACACATTATCATCAAAGTACAAGATGATTAAATTTGCATAAAATCCAGAAGGAACTGAAAGAAAACATAGAAGAGAAATAGCCCGAATTTTTAAAAAGAAGGTAAAATGGACAATCATATATTTTTTTCCATTAGTCTGTAGAGGATAATTAGCATTTACAGGACACAGAGAAGGTGCACAGGGGGCCAGATAACACATAGGATGCTGTGGTCTCATACAATTGTCCCAGACTCTATAATGTGAATGGTCCAGAGAAGGAAATCACTCTGATGTATCAAACTCATGCTCTTGAAGATGCACAAAAATGGGTCAGGGCTCAATTAAGTTAAAAACTGACCTTCGGTAAGAAAAATACAGGCCTGGGATGTGACAACCTGCAAAGGGAGAAATTTCTGATCAGAATATTTTCTGAGTATTGTCAGGCCTTCCATGGGACCCCTGACCTTGTCAGGGTTACTGCAGGGACCTTTTCTGTTAACAGTCTCTGGAAGTAGCAGGTGGGACAGAGCAGTCAAGAGGGAGGACCCTAGAAAAGCCTGTTGAAGCAGAGGATGAAAATCAGGCTACTTCCCCATGTTAGCCAAAAGCTGGTTCCAGAATGTGTTTTTTCCTGTGTGCCTCAACGTGGTATTTTAGGGAATAGAAGCAGACCTGCAGCCAATGTCAGGTGCTGCACAGGTTTTCTGAGGAGTACATGGTGGGCCCAGTGAAAAGGCAGGCATTGTCCTGAATATTATGAGTCCAGTGTCAGGAGAAGTGTCCCACCAGCAGCATGTGCTGAGCCATACAGTGCTCTCTGATTCCAAGTATGCAAAAGAAGGGCTTGGTGAAAGTTCTACCGAGGCTTTTGGAAGAGGGTGCTGGCCTGGAGGATCCATCCAAACTATGTCCTGTGTGTCCACCATCACTACATTGATATGTTGCATATAAGTTATTTCTGTGTCCCTGTCTGCCCACAGGGTGTAAGAGCAGGAGCATCTCCAGGTGAATACTCAACTAAGGCCTCTGTTTGTTCTGTTATTAGGAGTACAGAGGTTGTTTTTTTAGAACCCTCAACCCTATGAGATGGAAGCAACCACAGATTCTAAGTTGTCCTACTCCATTCTACACAGGATGTTCCCCTTGTTTCCCAGGACATCATGACATAAACAAATGTCTTTAGAAACAACGGCCAGATGTCCCACAAACCAAGAATTTTGGAAATTAAAAGTGTTCCCTGACTCTTATAAGGTCAGGTTATCCTCTTTCCTGCCCTGGCAGGAACTCTTCCAGGGTTTGAGGATCCAGAGATTCTGTCAGGTAAGGAATCTGTGATAAGAAGAAAACACAGGCCTGGGGTGATGAATACTAACTCTCAAGGTGAAACTGAGGAAGGCTGTGGCTTTGGAGGAATAAATGCAGCCCAACCCCTCACTGCTAGGAAGTTCCTTTCATTCCTCCTGACTGTATGGGAAATACAAGGCTGAACCTAGCATGTCCCAAAACAGGTGTCATCCTCCTGCAATACTGACAACAGTTCCTTTGTGTCTATAAGAACATAATTTGACTGCAAGTGTCACAGAGTAACAGGCTTTCACTGTGCAATTTCCCTTATTGTTTTAGAAAGTGTTTACTGAGCATCTGTCATGTGTCATGCTCCTGGTTGGGCCCTGGAAACTCCCAATGGAATAAGACAAGTGTGGGCCCTGTGCTCATTGACTTTACCTTGTAACACAGGCTGTCAGGTAAATCACAACTTTAGGTACTTAATTACAATCCAGTGAAGGACCTCAAAAGAAAATTTCTGGTTCCTCCAGAGTATATAATTGAGTCTTGTCTGGTCTAGAGACCATGGAGTGCACTTCTGAGAAAGTATCCACTTGGCTGAAGACTGGAGAGTTAGTGGACATTTAGTCTATTAAGAACAGAGGGTGTTAAAAAAAAAAACTTCCTCAGACGATCGACCTATGTAAGAGTGATGCTTGGCTGGATGGAAGAGTAGACAGAGTCCATTGTGGGAGCTTGATAAGTCAGAAAGACTGTGGAATTAATGATGCTCTTGAAGTTGGTCCCCTGCTGCACTATGGGTGCTCCTGAGGTAGAGTCAGCAGTACTCCAGAAAGGCTCCTTCTGCAGTGTTATTCTGGCGCCCCCTGTTGATGAGGGTAAATATCAGCAAGAAAATGTCATGTTATAATTGGGTAGCTTTGTGTTTGTTTAAAGTTTGGACTTTGTATTAAACTTTTACTTTAGGCAACATATATCTATGTATAATTTTAATATAGTCAATGAACTGTAGTTGAATATAATGAGCTTAACCTATTGAAAGTATGCAATTTTTATGTGTTTTCACATGTATGCCCCTGAAAAGTTGTAAAACGAAATTAAAGACCATGTCCTTTGGTATAAAAGTGTTCTCCTTGCCTCTTATAATTTCCTTTTTCTTCACCTCTCAACCTCTCTTTCTACTGTTAAGGGATTTCCCTTCAGTTTTTTTCACTATAAATTCATTGGCACTTTCTGGAGTTTTCAAAATGTTTATAATAAAGTATTTTCTTTGATGCCAAATTTGGCTATTTTCACATAATTTTCCCTTTTAATACTCTAGTCATACCTCATTTCAGGGATGCATTAATATCGATTATCTATTCACTCTTCATGGACACTTGCGCTGTTTCTAGTTTTGAGCTCTAACAACCCTGCCATGAACTTGTGTATGCAAAAGTCTTTCACACAAAGAATCAGCACTTGTAAAACCACTGCATGGCTATAGAAATAGAAGTTAGGGAGTTACCCCAGAAAGTCTGGTTTAAAGGTGGCACTGCCATAGGCACACTCAGAGGTTAAAAAACAGGTGCTTCTTCACATAAAGCTGTCTCTGCCACAGTCCACCAATCGGTCACCACATTAGCAGAAACAATAGCTTTATTTTTCTTCCAGTTTCTGAATTATGAACCAGTGTACCTCAGAAACTGCATTTAATTTACATATGGATTCTCAATCTCTAGAAGTAGGGGAAAGGTAGTATTTAAGTTTTCAATCACTCTGATACAAGGAGAAATCCATCCAAAAAAGAAGCACAAATGCCAAGTGCCCACTAATAATACAGAGCCCACCTGCAGGCTGTGTGCCTCTGGCTGAGTGACCCCACAACGAGAACAAGGGTTCTCTCATGTGATGTCACGAACATATGTTTGGTCTCCTTTCTTAGATTTTAGAAAAGAGCAGCTAACTCTTTTGGAATTCTAAGGGATGAGGGTGATAAGAGTGTGTTCTGTTGCGATGATGCAACTTTTGGCAGGCCCCTGGACAGTTTCATTGTGAGGGAAGGTAACCAGAATAACCAAGATCTGATCAGAAGCTTGACATTTTCATCTATCAACGTAAGAAATGTTTCAACCTGACATGAC